GTGGTGATAATGGACGTGCCCACAGGAGACCGATAAAGCATGCAAAAAAGAAGCCCATGTGCCAAGTACATGTTTAAATTAACTAGTGATGTTATCGGCTACAGCTTGAAAGGCTAAAAATACTGCTGGATGCAGTCACTCGAATCAATTTCAATAACGAAGATATTGTTTTAAAGGGCCCTCCGAACTATTGGTTCGCTGCCAGCTGCGAAGTATCTTTTCATAATATAATGGTTTCAATTTGATCTACCAAGCTCAATCGGTTCCAAATCAGGCTGATCAATCTCCCAAATATTGTACTAATTTGATGGCGAACTCATTCTGTACTGGCTCTTTGAAGTTTATATGGGAATTACTATAAGAAAAGTTGTCCATCGAAGCCCCCCCCCCCCCCTTACGTGAAATTTTCCCAGCTACAACTTTGTTGAAAACCACTTTTCAATTGAATGTCCAGAAAATTAGTTATGAATTAATTTCCAAGTTGATAACTTTCTGGTAGGATTGATCGGCTGCTTTCAGGGCAACACTGCATCTTGCACTTATGACATAATAGCCTGGACTGTTTGTCCCATTAGGTAATTATCCTAACGTTCAATTTTTCAATTCCCACATAAACTACAAAGGGTCAAGTGCAGAATGAGTTCGCATCGTAATGAGATCAAATTTTGTGAGAATGATCAGGAGATGATTTGAAATTGTTTGAACTTGGTGGAGCAAAATCAATATTTTAAACGATGAAAATTCCGTGCGCATGGATCGGTAACAAATAACCCCGCCGGTAATTGGTTCGTAATCTTCCACTTGAAATACTTCTATAAAACCGCAATTTCTCAACGCTCAAAAACTGAATACCAACTGATTCAAATCAATCGGCTGTACCAGCAACACGAGAATGTGACAGGACTACTCGATCATCAGTTCTCCGTTGTTTTCTTTATCACCAACCAGCCACTTTTAGCATGCACGCAGGACGTAGGTACGCTGCCGATCTCCCTGGAGCTCGCCGAGCTTAGCTCATGAGACACAGCACATGTGACACGAATAAGGCACGTAGGAACAAAAAAGAGACGCGAAATAATTCGTCTCAAAATGTACCAGACACCTAAGATCTGATAGAAAGCGTGTCTCTATCACGCGGGATGGATGCACGTGTACATTAACTCTGATGTTTATTGTGTTGTACCTTTTGACTATGTTTTTAAGATATATTGTATAGTGAACAAGAATCCTCGGCTCTGTAAAGTTAATTCGGTTGAGTCTTATCAAATAAATTAATAATAATAATAATTTTTGAAACCTTCCGGCGACCAGATTACAGAATCTGTTTCGTGAAACATTGCAAATTCTGCATACTTTTCATGCAAATCTGTAATATCAAGAGCCACATGTGAAAAGGGCATACAAGCTTTTTGTAAACAAACCTTTGTAGACCCTCTTCTCGCCAACCGAGGGTCGCCCACGCAAACTAACAACATCATAGGGAAGGGGAAACCTTCCCCTATCCGGCGATGTTGATCGTTTGCGTTGGTGTCATATGGGTGGCGAGAAAATGGCATAAAAATGTTTGTTTACAAAAAGCTTGTATGCCCTTTTCACATGTTGTTCTTGATATATTCTTTCATTTCCCGATTGGGTGTAGGTCATGTGAAAAACTCAAATCTGCACACTTGGTTTTTTTTTTGCCGAGATGGTAAAAATATGTCGACTACGGTGACCACTTACAAGACTGCACCGAGCAGCTCGGCATTTTATTTTGCTGGATCTCAGTCAAAAACTTGCCGAGATTCAGCAAAAATTATGTTTGTTAGCTGAGATCTCGGCAAGTATTTCACTGAGATCCAGCAAAATAAAATGCCGAGCTGCTCGGTGGTGCCCATCTCGGCAAAAAATCTAAGTGTGTGTGCGTCTCTTATGCATGACGAACTAGGTTGGGCAGAAGTTGTTGTTGTTTTTCAGTGAATGCAATTTACAATCACTGAAAAACAATGGTGGGTTCTGTTCGCTCTGGTTCATCATGCTTGCGATAAACAGATTTGAGTTATTGACAAAACTTGTAGCTAATATCAAAACCTACAAAAGTTTCATACATAATTTTACGGAATTCTTTTGATCATCAAAGTTAGAGGCAAATGAATGTATATGAATGCACGAAATGAATGTAAATGATTGCCCATTATAATAGGTTATCATGATCATTTTTTTCAGAACAATGTTTTTTTGGTTCCATTTGGGGTCCCAAACAACTGTGCAAAATTTGGGGACGATTGGTTGTAACCCGACTTTCCGCATTGCATTTGAAAGTTGTATGGAAATTAGTATGAGAAAACCTACTTATTTGCATCTTTATTACTAGGGACCACAATTTTGCACAAACCACGCATCTAAATACGTTAAAGTATAGCCCAGGAAGTGCCTAGCAAATTTGCTCAAAAATGTATTGTGCTAGAATGCCCCTAAAAAAAGCTATAGCTGTTCAAAGATCAATGTTTCGAATTAAATGCCAAAAATCCTCTTTTCTGCCAACACTGCCGGTGTAAAGTCAGACTCCAGTCAGACTCCAAATTCGAAGTTTATCATTTTATCGTTTTGGTATGTTCAGATGAAATATTCAAAAACAATAGATCTATCTCATATGCGTAGTCGGAGGAGGGATGGGGGGGGGTCACTCATATCAATAGAAGTTAAGTTTCAAACACAAATAACTTCGGAGTTTCTTATATTTTCGAATTATTCAAAAACAATTTTTCGATTTCATAGGCATATTAAGAGATGAAGAGGGGGAAGGCTAATTATACACCGCCTCCCTCATCCATATTAATGGAGGTAAGGCTTCAAACTGCAATAACTTCGGTGTTTCTGATCTTGTCAAGTTGGTATATTCAGATGTATTCAAAAACATGTGCTTTCCGGCCCTCACTTATATCAATGAAGGTAAAGATAAAGACTAAAAAAACTTCGGAGTTTCCCATCTCTCGAGTTGTTCGGATGGGTTATTCAAAAACATTTGCTTAATCTCATAAAAGCAGTTATAAAGCGAGTACTACCATTCTCTTCCCTACTCTTTTTGGTGCAACATACAATGCAATGTCAGATACATATATTCACACAAATGTACTGGATTTCATTTTAACATATTCTACGATTTCTCAGGGTACTCTTTTCGATGCTGTTCCTTCTTTTTAAACAAATATTGCTGTTGAACTAGGTCTCGGGTGGATTTCTTGATAAGTCAGAAATTAGTTTCACCCCTTTAGCCATATCGTTGACAACCATCAAGGAAGCAACTCGTTGTATCGCATTGAAATAATCTATATCATTACTCCACTCGTTTGCCGATTTTTGCATGAAGCCGGTCGAAATTTCGAAAAGGAATCAGCACTGTTAGAAGTGACGTTTGGCTTGGGAGCTCAACTGAAACTTACCCCACTTAAAGTTAGCCCAACAAGCGAAATCCGACTGTACCTGTGTCTGAGACGAAACTGGTCAAAACAGTTTTCGTTTTCTCTTGTTTTTGGTTCTTGACGTACGACTACTTCTGTGTTTTCTATATGCGGGTGGCCCGAATGGCAGTTTAATATTTCAAATAAAAGCTTTGTATAGAAATTTAAAATTTCACAGCTGCTAATAATTCAAACAACATCTCCTGACTAACAAATGAACCGACAAGTGGATATTAAATATTTACACTACAAGAATTTTCGTTTTAAAAACTGCAAACAGTAAGCCCTTCACCCCTCCCCCCACCACGCTGTCTAACAACGCTTATGAAATTGAGCAAATGTTTTTGAATAATTCATCCTGAACGTACCAAATCGATAAAATAAGAAACTCCGAAGTTAGTGGAAGTCTTTCCCTACCCGATGAGGATGTTGGTTTGCGTGGGCGAGCCTTGAATTTCTAGAAATCATCGATAGAAGTCATTGTTTACAAAAGCTGTTAGGCCCTAATTCCAGCTCTATCTAGAGTTGTTTGGGACTCCAAATGGAACCAAAAAAGGGTTGTTCTCGATTGGTGCGGTAAAGTTAGCGCTTTTCCATATAACGATGACCCACTCTATTGCACATGCTTGTATCTAGTTTTCAGGATTTTCAGTTGCACTCCTTTCCTTCTAACCTCTACAGTTTTAATTTTTAATATCACGGTCAACAGTTTTTTTTTTCAAAAACCCACGCTCCCATTTTGTTTGGGTCATAATCATTGCGTGCAACACATTGATCTTTTGTGATACGTCCGTGTCCTTTGTTTTGTGCACTTTTAGTCGTAATACCTCATTAATATTAGTATTCTCCTCACAAGGAGCCCTAATTTAATTGTGATGTTCTACATAATTCCAAGAGGTTTCACAAGGATCATCATTCAATTGTGATGTTCCGTATGATTCGAAAAGTTCTGGGACCTCTTTAAATATGCCCCTTCCCATCAATACAAATAAGTGTCTTTGTGACAAAAACAAGCCATGATAGTTGATATGCATCAGAATCCTGATCCAAACCTTATCTTGCTACCAATCTCAGTTCCTCGGAGACTCTCAAAACCAAGGCTCATAACCATCAACAAGAAAAGCTCAAGGCCAGAGTTCGATTTGATAGATCTTACACCAATAACGCACCACGAAAAGGTGATCTACCTGCGTTACGGGTAAAAAATTTGTAAGATATCAACTGTATAAACATACGATCCACATCTATGCCTAAGCATTACAGAAAAAAAAAACATAATTTGTATGCAATAACCGTATAAGACAATGTTATAAAAACACACCATCATGAGCACCAAGCGACACTGAGTCGTCGCGCACCATGCCATTTCCCCCCTTTAAACAGCTGATCAGATCGCTAAAACATAAGTTAACGATCACGCCAAACGGACAACTTCAAACCATCATTCGGAGGTGTGAATCGCCAGAAAATGCAACACCTCACGATGACTTGGAACTTTTTGTTTCTCCTGCATTCGTTTTTGTCTCGTATTTTAACCCGCAGTTTTTTTGTCGCTTGCAGATACTAATCGAACGGCAACCAAGACAGTATTCTCTTAGATCTGCCACTGCTATCAAACTAAAGGAAAAGCCACCATGTCGCTCCGCCTCGTATCGTCGCCCTACTTCCGGCGTTTTCTGTTGGCCAACAAAAATGGCAAGGTCAGTGAATTGGGAATTTCTTTTCCTAAATAGAAAGAAAACAATCGATTGAGATTCATTCGTTAATATTTATTTTATTTTCAGACCGTACCATCTCGCGCTATGAGCCGCGATCCCTACTCCGATCCCCGGGGATTCACCTTCACCGATATGAAAAAGAACCCAGCCGTAAGTTTTTCGTTTCGTTCCGTTATGTTCTTCTAGGTTAAGATTTTTATTTGTCTCAAATCTACCAACTAAAGTCAAAATTACAAACTAGCATACTGTGGAAGAAACTCCTTAGAATTAAAACGTTAAGATTGCCTCGGTGACTAGAGGTTTCCATCCGCGCACGCGCCTACAGAAACGTCGTCCAATAGGTGACGTTCAGTATGAAGAACGAGAACGGGAAGAAAAATCGCGAGAACTTATCGATGCACAGTGCCGTTTCCCGCCCGTGGCAGAACGTGTCGTACTGGGGCAGGTCGGACGATCGGTGGGTTTTGTTGAAGCCGTTCTTGTTGAAATCGATCGCCTCCGAGAGGTCCTCGTCCGAGTAGCCTTTCATGACTTTGGTCGCCACCGGACCCATGTAGTTATTGACGACGGCAAACTCCATCAGCGAGAGAAACACAAACACCGAACAGGACGACATCCACACGTCGATGGCCTTCACGTACGATACGGGCGGTAGCGATTGCTGGGATTGGGTGTTCTGGGTTGCTGAAATGATAGCGGAAATGGGGGAAAGAGATCGTTATTACCAGTAGAATGCAATTGCCATCGGATACAATTCACGGGCACGAGAATGTGTACAAAATTAACAAACAGAAAACAAACAATAAATGGCCTAAAGTGTGATAGTTAAAAACGCAAATGATTAACGATCAATTCGATTTTTAGGCAAGTCATTGTTGGGTAAATGGCGCAATAATTTTGGTATGCCGGAATAAAATCCGATGTTACAATTTCAAAGCTATTTATGGACAATTGCATATTTGGATTTAAAGTAATACGGAATACGCCTAAATGTTGACAATTTGCAAATCATCGATCGTAGAGGCTTATTCTTGTTTAAATGGTAGGGTCGGGTGGGGCAAGAGTGCCACCCCCTAATCTGAAAATAAACATGTTTTCAATGCTATTTCACCCATGAAACTAAGAATGGTGTTCCCATGCAGCATTATAGAAAGTTTTGTCCAAAATGAAGTATTACAAAAATTGCAAAAAACCTGTGCTGATGTGTCAAAAATCAAAATTACTTATAATAATTAGACATCATAAAATAGGGATTTTGGCATTTCCAAATATTGTTTCCTACAATTCCTGCATTGAGGCATTACTAATAATGAATAATTGAAACACCAATAACAAAGAATAGATAAATATTCCCTATAATTGGTCAAAACTAATTTTCTTCAAAAATGAACCTCACATGGGGCTATATTTATTAATAAAATCGTACAAAAATGTAAAAGAAATTGCTTCATTGTCCATTTAAGTCTTCGGTAAGCTTGTTTGTACCAAATATGACAAAACCAGCTACATAAAATATCAACAACAATGGTTTTAATTGATTTCATTGGTAAACATAGTTCATTTGTTATGTATTGATTAATATTGTAAAATTCAATAGTTAAATTGGGTAAACAATAACAGCTGCTGCTAGCATGATTAATAATGAAAAGGCTATGTTTATAAACAAACATTAAGCGATTTCACTCAATTTAAGACGCATGGCCCTGTTGCCCCATAAGGGTTGGCACTCTTGCCCCATTGCAGTTTCAAAAAAAGATTTGAGATGACATTTTGAAAAAAAAATTGTAATCAGCTTTTGACGAGATATAATTAGCATTACATTGCTGATATATGAAGGCAATAATATGAAGTTGTATAACGGTGTAGAAACTCCTATAAATATCCACTGTTTGACATATATATATATAACGTACAATTGTTAAGGTGGCACTCTTGACCCACCCAACCTTAGTACCTTAAGGAGACTTATAGTAACATTGCTTGATTATCGTGTGTTTTGTGAAACTTAACATCGTCATCAACGTCACCTTCGGGATCGGTTTAGAATGGTTGCAATAACAACGCGATCGTAGTTTGGTTGATGTGATATAAGGGGCCTTGTTAATGTGAGTACATTGGAATAACAACAAACTGATCATTGGTGTGTTGTAATAAAAGGAGCTCGTTGCTTACTGAGCAGAAGACCGTGGGTTCAATCCCAAGCCCCTTCACGTCATAGATCGCTAGGACATCAATTCAGCTTTATCGTTTACCAAAACTGCAATCCCAACCCTCTTACCCAATATCCCAGTGATTCCTCGTGGAAGTGCAGTTGTGTTCTCGGCTTCCATCAAAGCGAGTGCCACGTCAACACATTCCTACCCATTCCTTTCTCAATCATGCTAATGCTCATTAGACCTGTTCATTTTAAACGAAATGTTCGGAATGTAACGGGTCAACCGTGATTACTGTTCGTCATGTTAATTTGAACTTTTGTGCAAATTTTCAGCAAAATCGGTGTTGATTTAGAGGTGCTTCTAGTTAATTTTATGTTTTCAAGGTAATTTACGGCTTATAATATTTGTATCTCGAGACTGAAACAACGAAAGCTGCTGTAACAACTTTCATAGCAAAGCTTAATGTGTTATCTACCAACTTTGTGGTCAAAGGTTGACTATTCGAAGTGATTTTATTGAATTTTCACTTAGTTTCATGCTCGAAGATATCTTAAAATATGAAGAATTTTAAAGTATTTGTTCTACGAATTTTCCACCCATATGATATAAAAATGTGTAGTGTACGGCATAATGTTCCTCATATTGTTCTAGAAGTTTCGTTCCAACATAGTTTTCGTGTATATTTCATAGATTGAGAGATAAAAATCAGAAAAGAGGCCGTTTAGCTAAAATTCACAAGACAACAGAACCAATAAAAGTCAATTAGATTGACAGAACATAGTTGCATTGCTTTTCAATGACGACCGATGACTGTTTCATTGATATATGATTTTTTCATAAATATGAATCCTCAGTAGACGTGTTTTTTTTATCAAAGGCAAGTGTCACTCGAGCCATTCAAAATGTTCGTTATTTTATAAATTGCTGTTATGGTTCGAGTGACACTTGCCTTTGATAAAAAACACGTCTACTGAGGATTCATATTTATGAAAAAATCATATATCAATGAAACAGTCATCGGTCGTCATTGAAAAGCAATGCAACTATGTTCTGTCAATCTAATTGACTTTTATTGGTTCTGTTGTCTTGTGAATTTTAGCTAAACGGCCTCTTTTCTGATTTTTATCTCTCAATCTATGAAATATACACGAAAACTATGTTGGAACGAAACTTCTAGAACAATATGAGGAACATTATGCCGTACACTACACATTTTTATATCTTTTTTTTTTTTTTTTTTCCTTGATTTTGTTTTCCGTCGATCTTGTTTTCCGTGCTGAGCACCAATGCTACCGACGCCAGGGAGGCAGCTCCCACACCTGGACCCTACCTATCGACCCATCAACTCATGAACCGGGGACCAACGGCTTTACTTCCCATCCGAAGGAAGGCGTGATCAGAGATGTTATGCCTCAGAACATCCCGGCGGCGCCGACTGGAATTGAACCCAGGCCTGCTGGGGTGAGAGGTAATCACGCTTACCACTACACCACCGGCGCCGTTAGTTTTTATATCATATGGGTCGAAAATTCGTAGAACAAATACTTTAAAATTCTTCACTTTTTAAGATATCTTCGAGCATGAAACTAAGTCAAACTTCAATAAAATCACTTCGAATAGTCAACCTTTGGTTACAAAGTTGATACATGACACATTAAACTTTGCTATGAAAGTTGTTACAGCAGCTTTCGTTGTTTCAGTCTCGAGATACAAATATTATAAGCCGTAAATTACCTTGAAAACATAAAATTAACTAGAAGCACCTCTAAATCAACACCGATTTTGCTGAAAATTTACACAGAAGTACAAATTAACATGACGAACAGTAATCACGGTTGACCCGTTACATTCCGAACATTTCGTTTAAAATGAACAGGTCTAATGCTCATGCTCACTGGCTGTTTTGTAATTCTTATTTATTTTTTGTAGGTTTCGATAAAATTTCACAGAAAGCTATGAAATAATCTTAGTGTGTACATTTGTCTTCTGATGTAAACATTCATTGTAGTGGTTCCAGAATTGATTTAAATGTTGGTGTTTGTTACAAGCTACGAATGGCTAAGATACACTGTACGAAGTTATGCAATATTTTGCAAATCTACTGAAATGTGTTTCAGTTCTTAGAATCTGGGGAAAATAGACCATTTCACGAGACGTTTCCAATTCATGAATGAACGCCTACAGGAGACAAATTACCTACCCGCTGAGAGAATTAACAACAATATTATCAGTTAAATCAGAAAAACTGGCTACTGTCAACGCGTTAAATGAACTATACCTAATGACTATTAGGTTCTGCTGCATGACGTCAGTTAATCGGATGCACTTTTATACAGATCAGTGGTACTGTTTACAAGCACTATCGAAAAGAATTTTTTTTCCGAACTTTAATTTGAAAAATGCCGAGGAAGTGCGTGATGAAAGGATGTTGCTCGTAGACATTCCAGAAATGTGGTTTGCATCTCACTGCAGTCTGAAAAGGCAATCCAGTTTCAGTACCCGGTTGGTTCTGAAGGGCAGAGTGATTAATCTTCTCTTAAAACATACTAATCGTTTTCTCTCTTATCATTGCTACACACTGTGTTATAATAACAGTGATTTTTATTCCAAAAATGAAAATTAATCGAAAGGAAAGACATTTTCATAAAATTTTTATAAGGTGTAGAATTAATCACTATGTTTTATAACTTCATAAGGCACATGGCCGTTTGACTCATATTTGAGTTCCGTTCAAATTCGTAAAAACGTAGGTCACTCATAGACTGAGTAAAGTTTTCCTCGGTTTTCCAAGAATAGCTTTTCAACTATGAGGAAAATCGAGACAAATTTCACTCAGTCTATTAGTATACTCCTAGACTGAGTAAAATTTTTGTCGATTTTTCTCATATTCGTGCGAACTTTTGAGGAAAAGCGATGAACATTTTCCTCAGTCTATAAGCGCTCATTACACTTATCAATATTTTGACAATAAATTGACATACTGACAATATTATT